TCTACGAAGATCTTTATCGGTCAGACCGCAAAACAACATACGTTGTTCCCTTTGTCATCGGTATGTTACTTGCCCAAGATTCGATCGTCGGTATCTCAATATCTAGTTCAATCTCGTTACCGGCAAGTCTCTTTACTCGTTTCGTAATACATCATCTCGCAACTAACTCATTAGTTGCAATGCTTGCAAGGCTTATGTGATGTGCATTACCGAGAGGGCCCAGAGATACCTCTCCGACAATCGGAGTGACAAATCCTAATCTCGAAATACGCCAACCCAACATTTACCTTTGGAGACACCTGTAGAGCTCATTTATAATCACCCAGTTACGTTGTGACGTTTGGTAGCACACAAAGTGTTACTCCGGCAAACGGGAGTTGCATAATCTCATAGTTATAGGAACATGTATAAGTCATGAAGAAAGCAATAGCAACATACTAAACAATCAGGTGCTAAGCTAATGGAATGGGTCATGTCAATCACATCATTCTCCTAATAATGTGATCCCGTTAATCATATGACAACACATGTCTATGGTTAGGAAACATAACCATCATTGATTAACGAGCTAGTCAAGTAGAGGCATACTAGTGACGTTTAGTTTGTCTATGTATTCACACAAGTATGTTTCCGGATAATACAATTCTAGCATGAATAATAAACATTTATCATGATATAAGGAAATAAAATAATAACATTATTATTGCCTCTAGGGCATATTTCCTTCACCTCCTCCTTCTCCGCCTCGTCAGCAAGGGCGGAAGAGACCTGCCGCCGCTCTGGCTGCTCCGGCGCGTCGTAGTTCTTCTCTTCCGCCTCGTAAGCAAGTAAAGAAGACAACTGCTCCGTCTGCTCTGTCGGCGTCTAGCAGTACAGCCAGAGGCGGGAGGACATACAGATTCGGTCCTTCTCTGAAGACTCCAGAGAAGTTACCATACGAGAGGACCCCGGAGGAGAACGCCGAGATCGCACGAGAAGAAGTGAGGAACTACTTTGAAGGGGTGAAAGCAAAGAAACGCCGAGATCGCACTCTGGTTGCCCTGACAAAATCACCCAAGTCTCTGCCGAAAGGCAACTATGACCGCATTATTGAAAAGGAATTTGCCGAAGCGGAGCTGTCGGGAAGTACTGTCAGTGATCAAAGGCTGAAAGAACGACGAGCTGGGAAACAAATTTCCCAGCTCGGCGAAGAAGCGAAGCAATCGTGCCCCCCGCTCAAGGTGCCTAGCGACATCGTCGCTAATGATCCGAGGATGGTGCCCGGTTATAGCAATCTTGGAGATTACCTGCCCGACGATGTACATTATGATTTCATGGAGGTGCAGATACAAAGATGCGAGTACGGGAAGCCTCTCGTCAAAGATGAAAGATCTCTATCAACGATGATGCGAAGATTGCATGATTGGTACTTGAAAATCTGCAGAGAGTCTGGGGGGAGGGGTACTTTGTATGTGAGAGTTAAAAAGGAGTATGACCTCGTTGGAATTGAACTGTTGCCTGTTCCATTTGAGGAGGTCTTTCAGTTTTTCAATCAATTGGCCCTCGATAAAGCAACGGTCGCCTGCTACTGTCTGTAAGTAGTACTACTTCTGTCATTAAGTCTCTCTATATAGATCAGCTCTTTCATTGCATGTATTTATAATTATCCTCACTATATTATGCAGATTGAAGATCGCCGAATTGAAGAAAAGACAAATCGGTGATATTGGATTCATTAACACAAATCTCATAGATGCAACTCAGGTTAAATTTCATGCCGCAGATACCGAGGCCAACTTGCTACGATCGTTGGTAATAAATGAAAACAAAGATATAATACTCTTTCCTTACAACTTCAAGTGAGTGTTACTGTATTGTGCATATTTGGTTTCCCTTATATATTAGTCAAGGTTATAGTAATGTAATTGATGAGTTATGCATGCGTGTGCAGTTTCCACTATATTCTCCTAGAGATTAAACTTGAGCAGGGACTAGTAATCGTCTTAGACTCAAGACGAAAAGATCCTCAAGACTATGCGGACATGACTCAAATGCTCGAGAAGTAAGTTAAATCGATCATTATCTACCATATCAGCAACTTAGTTCATTTCCTGATATATCAAGTAATTGTTTTCTTTGTCTAGCAGAGTTTGGAAAAAATTCACCAAAAAAGCTCCGGGACTCCCGAAGAAGCTGCAATTTAGACACCCGAAAGTAAGTACTATAGTAGCATGTTCCGCGCATCTCCTAGTGATTCAAGTGCTAGTTTCATCAATACCATTTGGGATTCTTGCTTATCAGTTTGATTGATCTCTATTTCTTGTAAAGTGGTTGTGGCAGGAACAAGGGAATAATTTTTGTGGATACTACGTTTGCGAGTCTATCCACCACACGACCTGTGAGGGAGGGCTACTCTGACGAACAATATGAAGTGCGTAAATAACAACATTCACAATTTTATTTTATTACCATCATTTGTGTTGAGTTTCATTCATTCATATATATATGTATTGACCCCCTTCTTCAAATTAGATGTTTCGGAAGCGGGATGAACTCCTAGCACCAGCTCGCATGCGAGCAATTCAAGAGGAATTGGCGGCATTCTTTTTGACCACGTGATTGCTGAAGACGGAGAATATTATGTGGGCCATGCGTCCGAATGTTAGGAGATTATATTTGTAAGAGATAATTATTGTATATATGTAGCCGGTAGTGTCGGATAGATATACAAGAACTTGTTGTTCGACCAATCTCTCAGAGAAGGAGAGGTGGTCGATATCACTTCTCTGTATGCATATATGTTCATGACGATCTTCTGTTTCCTTCGTTTGCTTACTAGCTAGTTAGCGTGTCTAGTCCTCTCTATACGTATGTATAGTATGTAGCGTCGACCAAGCACAGACATAAAAAAGGACACTTCTCTCTATTAATTATAGCTAGCTAACACAATATATGAGACATCTAAATTAACCCCCCAAAACCCCCAACCCCCCCCCCCTTTCAAAAAAAACAAAAACCCCAGCCACAGAAATGCTGACGCGTGGATGCCTATTGGTCCCGGTTGGTGCCACCAATCGGGACCAAAGGCCCTCCTGCCTGGGCTCCGCGCACAGGCCACGTGGAGGCCCATCAGTCCCGGTTCTGGATTGAAGGACTAAAGGGACAGGGCATTAGTACAGACTCTTTAGTCCCGGTTCAGGAACCGGGACAAAAGGCCCTTACGAACCAGGACAATAGGCCCTTTTTCTACTAGTGTACACACACAGTTGTGACCAACGACTTCTTCTATTCGCCATTGGTACTTCTCCAAAATAGCAGTGGCGGGTACCTGTCCACGCCCGCCAGTAAATTGAGCCCATCTATAAGCCTTTCCCCAGTAGTGCATCTTCCTCTCTCTCCCCTCAGCAGGCCCCTGTTGGTTCCTCTGTGACGGTGGCCCGACACATGGATCTCTCACCATGTCGGTTCCCGGGCTGGTGGGCCGGGCTGAGGTCCCCTAGGTTGGTTCCAACTTGGGCCACTTTGGACGACCCATGGCAGGTTATTCGAAGACTATGGAAGACTTGGCATACAAGGCAAGGAAGTTGGAGCCGAGGCAGACTTTACCTCCATGGACAACCGACTTGGATCTGTAACCTTAGACCCCCCAGAATATTATATAAGCTGAGGGCTGGGCTCATCGTAGAACATCTTACACACTTTGTATTCACATGCACTTTGTATTCACCTCGACATAATACATGAGAGCAAGAGTAGGATATTATCTCTACCGTGACATACCTAACCTGGGTAAAATCTTGCTCCTATTACCATTGTGCCAAGTCGCCTAGCTAGAACACCCGACCGAGAGATCTGCTAGATTTAGCTCTGATACTTTGCAATTTATCTTTCTTCCTCTGTCTCGCGGGTCTCCAAATCTTCACCGTAATTGGAGCCGTGTCAAGCAAGTCGCAGGCCGCCCGAATGTCCAAAGCGTGTCCGATCAGACCAGAGCATGCCGTCTCCATCCAGCTTCTCCCCGTGGTGGCCACATGAGGCCGTCATGACTTACATTTGTTTTCTATTTAATATACGATCTCAAACACTTGGAACGGTCCGGCCCAAACTTTTTTAACCTGAAAATTTCCTACAGGTTCTTAGGTCCAACACTTGGAACGGTCCGGACCACTTGAATCTTGAATGCAAAAAAAAAATCTAAGAAGTACCGTGTGCCAAAGGTGCGAATTACATACAGCTTTTCATGATCTGGCCAGAAATGCTAGAGAGCTTAATTCATTTTCTGAGATTATAAGTAGAGTATGTACCTACTTACGTGTGGCACGTAAATCTCTAATGGTAGAATGCTCTGTCCAGATTACCATCTTTGATCGTTATCGAGTCGTTATACTGAACTTCAATGCTAATAGATAAGTGATGCTCCAGCGTACCAAGCATGCATAACGTTTGGTATAGATGGGTCTTCAGCGGACCACCGACCGGTGATCTATCGCGGTAATGATTGCAATTCGGTGGTCAGATGGCACACACCTGCTGCTCGAGCGTCCCCGACCGATACACTTGGAATGTCATATAAGCCAGGGGCTGGGCTCATGATAGAACATCTTACACACTCTATTGGTATTCACATGTATTTTGTACACACCTCAACATAATACACGAGAGCAGGAGTAAGGTATTATCTCTACCGTTACAAATTAGTCTTATATTAGGGTATTATCTTGTATTATTGTGCACATGGTTCACACAGTTGGACCTTCCTTCCAGCAAAAATAAACACTTCTAGCTTCTGTTTGGGCTGAGCATCCCATACCACTCTGCTTTGCCATCATGTTTACGCTATCTTTGGTTGTGCCATGTGATGTCCTCTCATTTCAACTTCTTCTATTAATGAAACATACGCAAGCTATGTGTATTCGCGAAAAAAAAACGTCTGCGAACACATCCCTGACATCGCTAATTTTTGGTCTGTTGCAATCATACTAGATCATGCATCACACAACAGCTACATAGATAAACCTAGACTACCCGTCATCGCGGATGTAGACAACGTCCGTCTCCTGGGGGATAGCAGCCTCCGGCTCCGGCTCTAATAATGGATATGCGAAAATGACATGGCTTTCGATATAAGAGATATACCATAATGCATGGCATTTCCACACTGCGGAGTTCTTATGTCAACGAGGTGCACAGATTGTTAACAGGATGTAGCATACATTTGCTTTCGATCTTGATTGGATTGTACAGTCACCACCACTCGACAATTGTACAAACGAGACAGCGTGCAAAGTTATATTTCATAATACATGTCGATCGCAGACGAGACACGGGCAAAACGGAAATGGAAATATACAGCAAAACACCGATCGAGCGGGAGTGCACCCATGGACAGACGCAGGAAGGAGGTTGGAGCGACAGCAGGAGTGCTGTTCCGATCACTGTCCCTGACGGCACTGGTACCTTCTGAGGCATGCCCGGCCGGTGTACGGCCGTCCTCGCGCCGGGCACGTCCTGGTGCAGGCTGCCTTGTTGGGGTTCAGGGAACTCGCGGTGATGCTTGTGCTGGCAAGGACGCGGCGGTGCCCCTCCAGGTCCACCGCCGTCGAACCCAAGAGCTCCGGCGCCACGCCGTCCTCAAGCTTCATCCACGTCGCCGACGACGTTGGCATCACTGCCGCCGCCGCGTCGATGCGGGCGAGCGCCGCAGCTCTCGTGTCCGGGCCGGCGAGCAGGAGCGCGAGGATTACAAGCGAGATGCACGCCTTTGTGTCCATGCTAGATTAGCTAATCGATCCGCTGGAGAGTGTTAGCTGGTCGGAGCACTTACTGACTTTAGATCGACGTTCGGTATTTTGTTGAATAGTCGACGTTCGGTATTGGGCAGCTCTCATGGCCCTGTCTATTTGTCTCTGATTAATTGAATTGATTGCAGCAGCATTTCTAGGTGAACCACAACAACTGCCGTAGCCATTTTAATTAAAGGAAAAAATACGCGAATAAATCAAATGACAACCAAAAAGTCAAACACATCATGCATTTCTGTCCATTTACAACAACCAAAAAGCCAAATACCAATACCAGAATAAGTCAAATGCAGTGTTCTTGTGACAAATAGAGGTGCAAATAGATTTTACTTATGTTTAATTAAAAACCGGATGCAAGACAACCTTGACTTTCTTTGTTTTTGATATAACTTACCACTCATGCCAAGTGGTGAAGACAACCTTGACTTTCGAACATCAGTAATCGGACACTTCACAATTGTACAACGAGACCGCACGCAAAGTTTACAAATACATAACGGTATTGAAGTGCACGCAGAATGGAAATGGAAATAAAATAACATGGACCTCACCGATGGAATGCGAGTGCACAACTACTCATGCATGACCCTGCAACAAAAAAAAAACTATTCATGCATGAGCAATGCTAGACTTATGTACGTTTTACTACAAAATTTTACGTAAATCAACATGGAGGATTGTGATAGGGGTTACGTTAGACCTGCGTAAATTTGATGTTTTCTTTGAGGGATAGTAAATTTTATGTTTTTTTAGGGATCGTATATTTTATGTAGGCGTAGGATTTTCTCACAAAGGACCCATATGGCTGACCCCGAGCGCTCTATTGGGCTGACCCATGAGCAGGGCTGGAGACCCTCTGATTTTTTATTTCGTTTTTCTGTGATCTGCCTTTTGTTATTCCTTTTTTGTTCTTATTGAAAATAATTCAAGATTTTAAGAAGTTCCAAGTTTTAAAAAATGTGAATTTCGAAAACGTGTTCCAAAAATCATAAACTGTCCGTGGAGTAAAACAACTAATGATGATTTCAAAAAAAATGTTCGCATATTGGAAAAATGTTCTTGAATTGGAACAAAACTTTCATGAATTAAAAAGTTATTCAGGAATTTTTCAAAATCTTCTCAGATATAAAAAAAATGATCATGAATTACAAAATAAGTTCACCATTTCAAAAAATGTTTGCTGATTCAAACAAAGTTCATGAATTCGAAAAATGGTTATGCATTTCAAAAATGTTATTCAAACAAAAATATTCATGAATTTTAAAAAAATCGCCGATTTAAAAAACGTTTGCGAATTCAAAATAATATTCGTTGATTCAAAAAAGTTTATCGGTGCAGAACAATGGTCATCAATTAAAAAATTCATGAGTTTCAAAAAAAAATGTTCTCAATTTTTTAAAAAAGTTCACGGATTCGTAACGCGAATTCGAAAATGCTCAAGATTTTTAAAAATGTTCACAATTTTTTAGAAAATGTTCTTGAATTTTTTTAAAACAAATCATGATTTAAAAAATATGTTCATGATTCGAAAAATGTTCAGGGTTTCAAAAGAAATGTTCACGAATTAGACATACTTTTACGAATTAAAAAAAGGAAAAATAAAAAAGAGAATATAATAACATTTATTAAAAGAAATATTCAAGAAAATAAAGGAAAGAAAGAAAAACAAAAGAAATGAAAAAAAAACCAATTCAAGAAGGTTCTAGCCAAAACTAGTATGGTGAAAACCCCAGAATTGGCCGGCCCAACAGAGTACCAGGTGCGTGATGGGGGGTACGCTCTAGGTAGCTACGAGGGGAATAGAGAGTTCCCTATCCTGGCCATTATCCTACTGTGCTTCAGGCCTTTCGAGTTGAGGTGTACCGCCTTCACCATCTTGAGCTATGGCGCTATGCTGTCCTCTAGCCTACAAAATGATGATATTGACTCACCGAATCATCGAAGCTTTTGCTGGCCGCGGCCTTGGCACCTGGGCCAGCCAGCACAACCACGAGGGTCACAAGAGACACTTGGGGCCAAAAAGTCTCTTCAACAGTTGTCTAATCTTAAAACATTTGCAAAAAGCATTGTGCAGCCCTGAAATGAGTCACCAAATGCTGCAAATATACGAGGACGTGGATTTATCCAAACTGGTCGCACACACATGCATATCTCCCCCACTCATCTTCCGTGCACGTCATATTTAACTGCATGCTGCCATGCACGATTTTGACTCTAGATCTAGGACAGGGAATCTCTCTTGTAGGTACTACTTGGTCATGCACCATTAATAAAGGCAGGCTAATGGATGATTTTAACCGTGTTTAATTAAATGGGTCAAACCCTTGTTAATTAATCTTAAATAATAGTGTGAAATAAACAGTTGTTAATTAACTACTTGATAGTTCCCAAAGAAAACATATGGATGTACCTAAGTTTATGGGAAAATCCAATGAACTTTACTGTTATAATCAGCAAGCTTTATGGAAAAATCCAATGAACTTTACTGTTATAATCATCAAACTTATGGGAAAACAATGAACTTTGCATTTACCTAGCTGGCACTTTGTATGACAATTCTGAAGAACTTTGTGGTATAATTCAATAAACATTTAGTCTCTGTCAGGTCGATACATAGTAATTCCCATATCTAAATTTAAATTTGTTGATATTGGGCTTGCTTTGAAGAGCACACCATGAAGAAGTCAAATAAATAAGAGGATTCAATTTTTCACAAAAGCAATAAAAAGATATGGTGATGCATTTTGTGTGTAGTGCAATTTTGTTTTAAAGAGCTAGAATAGGCAGCCGCAGCTTCTGCTAGCTGTATTAGAGCAACTACAACGCGCCGACCCAAATTGTTCGCGTGTGTCCATTTGGGTCGAAACGTACAAAAAATCAGCCCAACCTACCGACGCAAACGGACCATCGTCCGCTTTTTGTCCACACGCGGCCCATTTCAGGCCCAAATTGGGGCCGTGTTTGCGTCGGCTCGGACATGCAATGGACGGGGCCACACCCGCCCT